AAGCCAATCAAATTAACACTTAGAGAATTTCCATTGATCAGCCATTATCCCCTAGGAATCAATCTTGTTCTCTATCCCTACAAACTTAGTTCCCTTCAATGGTACAACTGTCCAAATGAACAACACTAATCACAAAAAGGGACAGTTACAAAAAATTAAATAAAGAAGCCAGCAAGTCCCATCTTCAATCCCAACCATACAAACAACCTCCCAAAAAAAAAACACACACACACACACACACACACACAAAAAGATCAAAAATCAGCTGTCAACAAAAGAACCGTTAGAAGCCCAATGCCTAAACCAAACAACCCTTTCTTCCCCCACTCCACCCTCCCCCCACCCCCATAGTACGGCTTTATCATCACATTAAACCTGCAGTTCCCAATCGACGGGTCGGCCCGCGTAACCGTCGCCAGCCCGTTAAACTTGCACGCGTCGTCCAGCTGGTTATTCTTCTGGTAGTAGCTATTGAACGCGTACGATATATTCCCGCTCGCGTCCAGCCCGCTGCACGACGTCTGGTACCCCAAACACGTGCAGTCGGCCAGCCCGCACGCGTAGCTCACGCTCGCCGCCACTCTCGGGTCGTCCATCCTCGCCCCGGGCTTCATGATGCACCACTTGGGCTCGAGGTACGTCACGTTCCGGGCCGGCACCAATCCCGAGCCTCCAGAGGTGAGGCTGAGCGCGTACTTGGGCTGGCCGTCGTACCGAAAAATCCCCCAGTGGCGCTCGAAGTTCCCGGGCTGGATGCTCTTCTCGTCCTCGTCGAACAGGCTGAAGAGGTAGGCGTCGAGCGGGCCGGGCCTCATGGGCGTCCCTCGGCCCGACGAGATTCGGGCCATGACCCCTTGGTTGAATCGGCGCGCGTAGTCGAGGTTGGCATTGCGGTCTCCGTCGGTGGGCCAACCAATCTCGCCGACTATAATGGGGATGTTGGGGAAGCCGTTACGGCGGAGGGCCGACACGAGGGTGTCGTGGTTGGCGTCGAACATGTTGTAGTAAGAGGTGCCGGAGTCGTCGACTGGGGTGGCCCCGCCATCGAAGAAGGCATACTCGACGGGGAAGTTGGGGTCGGTGTAGAGGGAGATGAAAGGGTAGATGTTGACGGTGAAGGGGGATTGGGTGTCGCTCAGAAGGCGGACGATTGGGAGGATGAAGTCATGGATGTCGGCTCGGAAGTCACCGCCGGAGGGGGCGCCGCTGGCTGGGCTGGAGTAGACGTCGGCGTTGAGGGGTACGGTGACTTTCACCTGGCTTTGATGACCAGCATTGGCGAGGGCTCTCTGAATGTTGCTGAGGGCAGGGAAGGTGGTTCGGAGGAAGCTCCCGTTGTACGTCTCCAAGAAAGGTTCGTTTCCCACAGCCACATACCTAACCGAAAAAAAAAAAAACATTATTAGTGGATGGATGACTCAGAGTTGATTTACTTTAGCACTTTAGCATTCTCCATTATCCTATAGATTCAAGGTTCGAATAGGACCGAGCACAATTTAAGAGACTCTCGACAAGGAGCAAGTAGTTGATTTTGAGAGAAATGGAGTAATGTATGACAGAGTAGGGGTGGAAAACCATGTATCGTATCTTGTTTTCGTGTTATCTTTGTCTAATCATATTAGCATGAAAACTACAACGGCTAAATTTAACCAAATTTTCCATTTTTCGTGATTTCATGTGGTGTTTCGTGTCATTCAGTGTTGTGTTGACCTTTTCTCTCAGTAATTGCATTTTCCAACCATGCCTTAGTCAGCCATTGCCGCCCCCGCATCATAGATATATACTTGTAACAGGAATAGAAGGTTTTGATTCTGGGTTAAGGACAAATTAAGATAAATTACCCGAGTTCCTAGTTTAGTTTTAAAATGAAAGGCAAACGGTAAACACATCCTGTTGTCTCCCAAAATTACAATAAGAATGTAGCTCGAGTAGTTTAATATAACCTGAGCTGCACCAACCGATAAACACCTAACATACTCAAATGGGCTCACATAATAGAAATAAGTGAGACTAATCACACAGCCGGATCTTCGACTAAGTCTAATGTGTAACACAGTGGTAATATGCATAAAAGAAAAACGGACCTGATCATGACATTTCTGGAGAGATGATGTGTCACATTCTCAGAGACCCACCTCTCAGCAGCTTTGGAGCTTCCCGCCAGCGTGGACAGCATGTCGTTTGGGATCCCCACCATCACCTGAATCCCGGACCCAGCCAAGGCCCGTAAAGTGTCGTAATCAGCGTCAAAAAGCTTCACCTTTTGAATCCCATTCTCCCTCAGCATCCTCACCACAATTTCCGGCCGCAGCCTGTGGGAAGATTGGGACCCCCAATTGGCACCGATACCACCCACTGAAAAAACAAGTCAAGCAATAATCGAAACTTACTCAAGAAATCTAGCAAAAAATATAGGATGTTTTTCTTTTTTGAATTTTTGACGAGAAAAACTTAACAGAAACAGCTTGAAATTCTTAGTAAGATGCGTTTTCATACCTGCCACCTGATGACTGACGGCATTTGCTACTGCCGAACTAGATGATATATTCGCAATGTCTGCACATACAGCACAACACATATCAAAAATTTTAAGTGAATTAAAACCCATCATATAAGTAAACCGAAGAAAGAAGTGGCACAACCGGACAATTGATTCCCATTCAATGATAAATCCAACCAACAACTAATCAATCGTGCACGAAGATACAACATTTAAAGCTATTCCTTTTTATCAAAGAAACGACAGATCTCAGTACAATATTTGAACAATATAATAAACTAGTACCACCGACTGAAATTTATCTAATTCAATTTGAGGACAACACAAACCAGCACACGATGAGAATAGATAAGATGAAAACTGGAGATTATTTTGATACAAAGGAAAGTACCTGCCTTGCTGTGACTAACAGCTCTCACTTTCTTCGATCCATTTGCCAAGAGCTGAGACAAGAATAACACCACATATAAGCAAAAAAAAAAAATACCAATATCAAAAGATTTACGGACAACGGAAGGCAACTAAACAAATTATCATCTGGTGAAAATATTAAGGTATGCGTCAAATAGGCAAGAACTAATTTAATCAAGTATCAATAAAGCCATCGATCCAACTTGCATATGGCACAATTATGAGTAGCATTTGGACATTGATACTGAGAACATTCTCAAAACAATAACAGCCTAAAAACTTTTCAGTTCTTGGTACTAAAAACAGAAAATCCGAGCAAGAATTTTCTTCAACTTTCTTTGGCAACATTTCTCGAAGATCCTACGAGTAGATTTCACGCTAGGGAGGTGCACGTACACTAAATGTACACGACGCATAATAAATCATACATTTTCTTTGACTCTACTCTAAAATATTCTAAATTTAGTTGATGGGAAATTTATCTAACTAGAGACAATCTGCCGAAGCATGTTTGATGGGAAATCGGTAATGAATATATATCTACATTCTGGAATGAATTTTCTAGCTCTAGTATGGGCAATATCAGCTACCATTCTAGCTTAAAGCTACATTTTTAAACCAAAAGTTGTTCTTTTTTGTCACATTCTTGCAGGTACCCTCCCTAGACGAAACACAATAACCATGGAAAGTTTAGTTCTTCGATTTCGATTCATTTTTCAATTTCAATAAAACTGGTAAGGATAAATGAACTACAAACAATTTCTGATAAAAGGGTAAACACAAAAAAAAAAAAAA